GTCGCCAAGCGGTAATGTGACCATTACTGCTTTCCGGTTTTAAGAGTGCTGGTGAAACTACAGGTACATGAGATTTGTCAACGTATATGTCAGGGTGACAGACGCACTGGCATTGCCCCTCAGATCTTTGCGATTTAAAGCTCTGAGTGGCACTACAATTGCTATCGACAAGCGTGTCACTTACCACCAGGCGCACGAGTTGTTCGACCCGTCACTTAGTATTATATGAAAAAAGTTGTCGAACAGTCGAATTGAGATCTTCCTCCTTTTTTTGAAGTCGGTTAAAATATGCTATTTTGATTAACGCATTTCTTAACAAGCAATCGTAGTTAAAATACAGGAAGAAACTCCGATGTCCCTATCTCGCTGTGAGAAAGGTGACTGGATTTAGGAGTACCTAATTTTATATCTGTATGCAAATTATAAAATGCTTCGATTGTAAAACAGATTCAATAAATGTACTCGACAATGAATGATCGTGCTCGACAACCGCCCCACAGGCTTATGACAATCCACTGTTGTTTGTGCTATTGTCTCTTTGTGGATATACCGTTTCATAGTAGTAACAGATAAAGTATTACTGGGAAGTCTGTGCTTTGTTGTGGATGTAATATTAGAAATATATAGGGAAGTAAATAAATAAATTATGACAAGATTGAATGAGAACAGATGTCACATATTCTGAGTTTTTTTGCTTTGCTTGAAGCGACACGCCACGGAAATCTAACCACCGCAAGTTATTATTATTTTTATATTCACAAGCACAACTGCTGAGCACGAGTCTCCTCTTAGGCTAGGGTTTAGGCCATAGTCCGCCATGCTGACCCAATGAGGGTTGGGTTTCCCGAGGGTTGCGAACGCTTGACGTGCAGGTTTCATCGCGATTTTTCCTTCACTGAAACGCTCATGGTAAATTTCAAATTAAATTTCGCATGTAAATTCCGAAAAACTAACAGGTGCGAGCTCGGATTCGAATCCACGGCCTTCTGCTTGAGAGGCGGTAGGTCAAACCATTAGCGCCCAGTTACCCCGCTTTCATGTACATTAATAGCGAATCTTAATTCTATTTACTAGGCAACAACATTTAAATCCCTCTAAATAATACAACCGCGCGGCCGGCCGCCGCGTAGACCAAGGGCAAGACAACTTCGCCCGCGCGCCCGGGACGCTCATTTAAGTTAAAACGTAAATTCTAAATGAATAGAGCGTATTTTGCCATGACATCTGTCACCGCACACGGTCGCTGCGCGGCTGCTACACGGCGGCTGCAAGGCGCCCTCAGGTTACCACGACAAGCAAAATATGTAAAATGTTTCATATAATACGTTTCTTATATTATGTGAGCTACAGTGGTTCTCAATGACTTTGCATACTTGCATTCTCATGTAGCAGTAATGAAGGTAAAAATAGAACGTAGCCATTATGGAAATGTGTGCTCCGAGTGGAACAAATTCACTTATGTTATAAAGGTATAAGTGAATTTGATCTTGCAAATTTTCATAACGAGGTATCTCATGCCCAGCTCTCGTGACCCAAAAGTTTATTCACCTGAAACTTGGTTGAATATTGTTTAAAGTAAAAAGAAATATATAAGTTCGTCCAGGGAATTGCTGCTTACTTACTCACCTTACTTGCCACTTGGGACTTGTCAACTTATGTCTCAGGGTGATAGGCACAGTGGCAGTGCCCCTCAGATCTTTGCAACAGGCGTGTAGCTTATCGCCAGGCACACGATTTGTTCGTCCCGTCTCTTGATATTATTTTATTGGGTTTATACCCTTAGCTTAATTTAACTCCATCTGTCATATTTGATAATTGCAACTGCCTCCGTACGAACGATTACCATTCTGGCCTGACACGCAGGTCCTGGGTTCGATTCCCGGGCCTGGAGATATATTTGTATGGCCTACATTTATTTCGTGAGTATGAGTGTAATTTGTGGTTGTCTATGTATGTGTCCGTGGCACCCGCGATACAGGGTTTCCCTAGTGCGGGGCTATGAGTTAGTGCGTTATTATTATATTATAATTATTATTATATCTATTTTAGACTCTGGCCTCTTCAAAGGCCTAAAAGATTAATTTTGAATTTTTAAATGGGAGAGGCGGTATTTCCCGGCAATCTCGGTCTGGGACTCAGGTTCAAGAACGATCGCGAACAATATATGCCGCATTTAGCAGGACCGCCTTCTGCATTTGTGCTGGAAGCGACACGCCACAGAAATCCAACCGCCTTAAGCTGTTAGAAAGCCTGACTGGAACTAACCCATTTGCAGACAAAACAATTGGGATTATTTCAGTTGAGCCATATACCACATGTCGGTGATCTCGTGCGCCACGTCGAGATACTTCCGGCGTTTCTCGGTTTCGGCTTTCACGAGACCCTCATTATGCGGGATGGTAACGTCCACAAGAAATACCCTTGACTGAGATCGATCCAATATCACAATATCAGGCTTATTCGCAAGAATAGTCCTGTCCGTGATAATGCGCCGATCCCAATAGATTTTTTTGCGGTCATCTTCGAGTATTGGCTCCGGTGAATACTTGTAATATGGCAACCTCTGTTGCACGAGTCCGTACTTAAGAGCGAGTTCTTGGTGTAATATTTTGGGTGTCTGGTTGTGTCTGTGCACTTGCTACTTACTCAGTATTATTTATTTATTACTTATTATTATTATTATTATCTGTCTTCACCACGCTTCGCCATATGTCTTGCCCAACTCCCTTCTTAAATTCGTTATCCGATCTCCTGTGTATTGAAGTCAGAACATAGGAAATTGGTTCGTCTTCGGATGTTGGACTATGACTCGCTTGATGGCTCTTTGCAAGTCTCATCACACAGCCTTCTGTGAGAGTGACCACGTCTAGGCACAGTATGTATTTTTTCATGATACAAAGTGATAAGACGAACAAGTCGCGCACCTGATGGTAAGCGACACGCCTGTCCATAGTAGTTGTAGTATCACTCAGAGCTTTAAATCACAAAGAGTGGCTTTCGTTTTGGACATATCCATCCCTGGGCCCTCACTCAAGGAGGTATCAAAAAGCTGTTGCAACATTCTCAAAACATCAACTAAATTGACGGCATAAACAGTATACGGGATCATCTGTGAATCTTAGATAAGAGAAGTTACCACCATTGATATTTACCCCGTACTCTTCCAAGTGGAGCTTTTTTTTATATCCTACCACCCTTACAAGGTACAAGACAAACTGCCCGTAAAAAGGATTAAAAATGTGTAGTACTTTGTTTAAAATTAGTCTTGATTCTATGAACATAAATATTTAAAAAATATCATAAATTTATAACGGCTCGTATTTTTAAAAAGCTTCGTAAATATGTACTAAAATTTAAAAGGGGATTTATAATAGATTTCGTCAAAAATTTCTAACGTAAACAAATTCCGACCGTGCTGGCTTAAAAGGTCCCTTGACATTTGACATTTAGAGATATTTCCCTTACCTAAACATCCCTTATTTTTTAATTAAACTTCTAGAAAGAGATAAGCTGTGGTAGGTTATTAATATAATACAGATTTTTCAAGTCTTACGAAAGAGCTAACGGCGGTTATTAGGCTAAGTAATAAATAAAAATGTTATGATATAGGCTCACAGCTAACAGAGTACAGCAAGAGGGTACTCAATTTAAATAATTGAGCATCGTTGGGGTGCATAAATTTGGAGAACGCTTCTCTTGATTGATGATCCAATATTTTTGAATCGATTTCTCTCTTGGTAGATATAATTAATATTTATATGAGTTGGTAATGAAACTTTACACTTCGACACTTTTTATTGCACTATCCTAAAAGAAAATAGCCAGCTGTCATCGAAAAAGCATTTCTTTCAGAAACAAAAAGATCAGTCTCCTCTTTCACACCTCATCCCTTGGAAACAATATCTATTCACACCAAGCTTCGAACATAATCCTACATTTACGAAAAGAGTATTTTTATCTAAAATTGACAATGTATCATGTTCCTGAGTTGGACCTGCTTGGTGCTTTAGTTACTTATTTTGGGATTAAAGCAACGTAACTGATGTTGTCTAAAATTTTATAAAAACATTTATATAAAAAGTTACGTCTATTTCTCTTACACAATTTATTTCCACAAGCATATAATAAAGTGATATTTTCATATCATAAAATATATTTATATAAATTAATTAGAGTCCGAGCAGATATAAATTAAATATACCTCTCTAAGAGATTTGAAATTAAACATCGCCGGAAACCGATAAATATTGAACCCAAGAAATCCAAAGTACAATACTTAAAATAAATTGTTTTTCGTTTGATAAAATCTTTATCGGTTTGCAAAGGTCACTGCTGCCGTAGCTTGCCAAACAACTATACATGTCGTTTTAGTAGGTTATGCTTACTTATCTATTGAGACTTAAGATAAGAATATCGACTAGTGTTATCGGAGAATATATTGCAGCCAAGGAATAACGAACCTTAAAACGTCGTGGAAACTTAGTAATGCCGAATTGGTAGGGTCAAGTTATGCGCATTATCATATTCCGCTTTGAAATCAACATTATAATATACTTATAATTTTATATAAAGTTTTCTTTTAATAACCTGCATGACATTTTTAAAATTAATTTGGTCTTAATTCAGAACCTAACTCATTGAAGCCTGTACTAAAACGGGCAAAAGGAGTTTAGTCTAAATGTGACCTAATATAATGTACATACGTTTTGATAAAATATAAAATACTTTCCTAAGAAAATTAGTCTTTGAGATAATGTACAAGCTCTGCACTTCTCTTGTAAATTGTTTACGTGTTGTTTAACGCTTGAATTGTTATTTTTGAAAATTCTGCAACCCTATGAAAGAAAGTCAGAAATCAACGGGTTGGTATTCTTAACACTTACTCACATACTGTAGAGTTTTGGCGTTCGAAGTTGAGTTGCCTGCGCTATACTTGAAAATTGTCTTCTAAGACAGTAAATGGTATTTTTTATAAAATTAATTAGAAAATGGAACCTTACCGTAGGCTGCATGTCTGGCGTCAAGCCAGCTGTTATATCGGTTCTATTTATACGTCCGTATCGATCCACCCGGAACCGTTACGTAACTAACACACTCACTCTCACTGACACACTTTCCTCACACTACTAAACACTTTTCAATACCTTTACTCCATTTTTGTAACAAGAGTTTGTATTAATACTGTCTGCATTTATTCTTTTTTTTTTTTTCAATTAATTTTCAACTAAATTTTTTATAACTTTTTTATGAGTAACTGTAATAAACGTACACACGATAAATGACAGATTTTATGTTTTCATATAGTGTGTTCGATATTTTTGATTTGATGTGGAATGCTGTGCGGATGGTGGAAGGCGGGAATTGACGTGGACAGCGCGGGGAGACGCGCGCGAGCGGTGGCGCCACCTCGCGGACTGCCAGCCGCGGCTGCGCACTCAGGTACGCACACTCTGATTCGTAAGGGCTACGAAAATAGCGGCTAATATATTATAAGTTAATATGACGGACAGATACTGCACCACAAAGGCTTTATATGGCATTTTATACAAAAAATATTACACGTCAAACCAAGCTGCCACTATCGAGGCTCCTTTCGGAGTGTACAGTGAACCATAAGGATGGTTCACTGTACACTGGGTGGATAAGGATCCACTAGGCTACAAATGCTCACAATATCATTCAAAAACGCTGAATGTTATTCTAATACCGGTCATACGCTTTCGATTAACAAAATACTTAATATGAAAAAAATATCGATTGCTACAATTGCAAGTTCTGATTATCCATTCGCTCACTTTATTTTCATGGCCCACACGTTAAAACTCATCAAACAAAGCCTTGATTCGAGGCAACAAAGCCGAATTTTCCTTACACCTCGACATTTACGGAGAGGTACATGTCCCAAACAGCTAGGGGCCTTTCTAAGGACGCTTATAAATCGAGCTTTAAACCAGGCGAGATGAATAATGCTGGAGTACATTTAGTCTCATTACTTATTAATAAATGAGAGTTTAATAAAATTGTACTGTTTTTGTAATTTTTAATCATCTACGTAACTATTTGTACGTAACCCGTAAACAGTGCATGGTGATAAATATAAGTACTATGAAAATTTTATTATAAGTGTTTAATACGATATATTAACAAAGTTTTGCTTTTAATTTCATTTAATAATACACTTTTCTCAATTCCACAAACAATTCTAACACATAATGATAATAACATGATGATAATAGCATAAATGTTAACATTCGTAAATAAAATCGTCACATATTATAAAACCATATGATATGTCAAAACTGCTTTCTTCACATAAAAGTTATAAAAATAATATGAAAAAATATGTATATGTGAAATTTTTACAACTCTGCTATACAAGCGTAACAAAGTTATCTATTAATTTCTTCGTAGAATCTTTAAGCCTTTTTCCTGAAAAGTTGTTATTTTGCATATATAGCCTTATTACACCAATGGTGCGAAATCTAATTGAAAGTATTAAAAAACCGAGACAAATATCGTGACTTGGAAAGTTGCTACATTTTCGTTCCGCTTGCTGTTGAGACGGCGGGTTGTTGGGGTACCGATGCGAAAAAGTTTATAGCGGAAATCGGGCGATGGCTAAGAGAGAGTGGAGATGACTCTCACGCCGGTTTATTCTTGGCGCAAAGATTGTCCATTGCCATACAGCAATGTAATGCGGCAAGCGTGAAGGGCACCTTTGCGCCGGGATCAGTCAGGGGCGGGCTTTTTGACGAGTGTGAGGACTGAGCCATGTAATTTGTAATTTCTTGATTTCTTTAAATTAAAAATATATCAAAACAGAATTGGCTCTCACCATCTTACATTGTAGTAACAGTAGAGCTCCTTGTGAAAGATTTCGTCCAGGGAAGCACTGCCACCTTACCTATTCCTGTTGCCAAGCAATAATGTGAGCATTAAGTACTGCATTCTGATTTTGAAGGTTAAGGGTGCTGGTGAGATTACAGGCACATGGGACTTGTCAACTTATGTCTTAGGGTGTCGGGCGCAGTGGCAGTGCCCCTCAGATCTTTGAGATTTAAACCTCTGGTTGGCACTGCAACTGTTATGGACAAGCGTGTAGCTAACCATCAGGCGCACGACTTGTTTGTCCCGTCACTTGCTATTGTAAAAAAAATCTACATGTGTCCATTTGGCTTGTGCCATCCATTATTTATTTATTTATTAAACTTTATTGACCACAACAGTTAGTCTTACTCGTCTTTGATCTGCGACTTTGACGATATCGTCTACCAATCTTCAACGTTTATTATTTTTTATATCATACAACTTTTCTTTTATTTTTATTTATTCATTTAAATCAGGCAACTGTGATCCATAAAAAATATGACTTGAGGATTAACGTGTATACCTATAATATACATATACCTATAATAAAAACTAAATAACTAATCACATGAAGTGCACTTGACGGCGACTTGTGGTGCAATTTGGTGTCAACTAATCTGCCTCGGAGGAGGCTTATATCCGATGACGGATGGAGGAGAGGCTGCTTGATGATGATGAATCTGCCTCGGAATCGCAGATACAATTAACACCTTTCGGCCAAAACTCTCCTTCATGAAGGTCGACAGATGTCCGATCGGCACTTTCACCACAATCGACTTAAAATTTTCGTTATGACGGGACTCCAATCGCTCGACGAGGAAGTATTTGGGTTTTTCTGTAAACGCGTCTTAGCCACCATTCGGCTATCGCCTCCTCGCCAGTCATCTTGAAATATGTCCTGCCCAACTTCATTATACGCTTTGGACTATTTTTTTACAGACAACTACATAAATTACCTGATCTCAAACTAAGTCTCCTGCGCTGACTCAGTCCAATATAGCAAACTACAGTATTCGTATGCGGAAGGATCGAATCTGGGACCTCGTCATCCAGCGCCCACAGTGCTAAATCGAGGTCATCAATTTTGCATAAACTCCTGTTTCAGCGTCCAAGTCTTTGTACTAGAAGTCACGCTGAGCAGTCATTGGTTGAATAAGCGGGACTTTAAGCACTGTGGAGTATCATCCGATCAGTTCACCAAACGGAACTCGTCATAATTGTATATCTTTTGTAAGCTCCATTTGTATATTCTCTTTACCAAAGTATACTATGCTCGAGTTAACCGTAGTTGAAAATAATAATGTAATAACAATAATAACGCGTACGCTCAAAATAGAGCCCCGCACTAGGGAAATCCTATGTCGCGGGTGCTATGGACACACACATAGACAACCACAAATTACACCCAAAATAAATGTAGGCTATACAAATATTTCTCCCAGTCTGGGAATCGAACCTCTGCGTGGCAGTCCGGATGGCAACTGTTCGGCCACGGAGTTAAGAAAAAAAAAACAGTTATCTTTCGTCAACGTACAACATTACACCTGTAACCTGTAACTGCACCATTTATGGGTATTTTGTTTTATATTTTATTCAATAAGTAACAATTACCACTACTTACTTCAAATTTTCAAGAATTACGTACATACAATACCTATTATGACATACATTTTATATGAATAAGCTACGGCGTAGCATAGACCGTAGCGATTTCGACGCGCTACTACGAAACAAAAGCTACGAGTACTACGGCACCGATACAAATGGAACAATCGGTTGAATTCGATTGACATTGATTATTTTAAATAGCGTAATATACGTAGGTATAGTTCACTTGTGGTGTCAGTGGTATCGGTTATAAATTTATGATCATTCTACTAAGATACTTTTGTGGCCTGTGATGTTACCCTTGTGTTGAGATACATATAATACTCACAAAACGGTTTGAGGAGGATAGGGATTGTTATCATCAGTACACCGCTAAGTTCCTCGAAAAATAGAACTTGTGCTTTTTCAAGGCGAGAGTAAGTACGCTGTTATATTTGTGATATCGTATCGCACATACGTATTAGTAGCAGTAAAACGCCTTGTGAAAGAGTTAGTCCAGAGAAGTACGGTCACCTTACCTATTTCTGCCGCCAAGCAGTAATGTGATTATTACTGCGTTTCGGTTTTCAAGGGTAAGGGTACTGATAAAATTACAGGCACAAGGGACTTTTCAACTTATGTCTCAAGGTGACGGGCGCAGTGGTAGTGCGGCCTAGATGTTTGCGATTAAAAGTCCTGAGTGGCACTGCAACTGTTACGGACAGGCGTGTCGCTTACAATCAAACGCACGATTTCCTCGTCCCGTCGCTTGGTATCATGAAAAATCTCAATAGTAAAGCGAACAAAAATCGAAACGTAAGTATTTTACCAAAGTGTTAAAGTGAAAAATTGATTTTTTTTTCCAATTGTGACAAATCTATCATGACAATTTAGGAGAATGACACCTTTTTGTGCAATGTGTGTTGACTTACCACCACTACACACGAATCATTCTTCTTCCTTGACGCAGGTAACTACTGTTCCTCGACTTACACAAGTAGGTACCTATTTATACTTAGGTACGTAAACAGTGCATGGTAATAAATATAGGTAAAGTTACTGTGAAAAAATTATTACAAGTGAACAGAAAAGCTGTTTGTGAAAGAGTTCGTCCATGGAACTACTACCACCTTGTACCTTCTTGCGCGCAGCCTCATCCCGCTATCGCTTGGACAGGCTGATGCGCTGTAGATTGTGGTGGAGTTCTGTAAGGTGTAATGCTCTCGCCGTCGTGGTGACTGGTTTATTAATAAAAATAAATAAAATTATTTTACACCACCACGGGTTAATAAAACAAATTGAAGAAAGCCGGCGCAAGACACTTATGAGGAGATTAAAAGGTTATTGAATATAAACTAATGTAGCTACCTACTTTCCTCTCTCAACTCTCAATTGTAATGGCAAGTAAAGCATAGGTTTCTACATATTCCTTTTTAAAAGCGTTCGATTTAATAGCTGTGACGGTGACATAGAGGCACATAAGCGTCACTAAATTTAAAAGGTTCTTGTACCTGTAAAGGGCGCTGTTCTATTTTTATAACATTACCTTTGATTACATTTGTGACAAAGCGAATGTTTGAATTCAGTTTGCTCTGTAATTGAATTTTTGCTGAA